GTGGGGCACCGACAGAGCCATGACAGCTACCCTGACAAAGAGCAAGGCAGGGGAGGAGAGGTCTTACTTGGCTTACAATTCCATGTTAGACACCATTATTTGGAGCAAATCCACGTGGGAACTCGAGGAGCTACTACAACATACCGACAGTCAAGAGCACAGAAGGAACACAGGTCCTCGCTTGCTCACTTGGGGTGCTGGCTTTCTTCATTCTCCCACAGCTCAGAGCTTCCCACCATGGGGATGGTGCCATTCCAAATGGTCTGGGTCTTCTACATGAATTAACAGCCAGGACACTCTCCCATAGATATGCCCACAGGCCAATCTGCCTCAGACAATGCCTCAAAATTAGCTATTCATGGCTGAAAAGTACAAAAATTAAAACAGTGAAGAGATACTGGTTGTTCATGTAGAGGTAGGAACCCCCCCCCCACACACACACACACACGTGCTGCATGCATCTGATACTCAGAAAGCTGTCTCATTTACTTTTTCAATATACTGACCAGTATTATAATAACAAATTACATGTATTCATTCATGTTCTCTGTACGTTTCACCACAATGAATAACTCTGGGGACTCAATGCTGCATTTGGCTGTTCTGACTGCCTTGGCTTCCTGGCTCTTATTTCCCAAAACTTCAAGCTCAACCATAACAGGGTTCAGAGACTTGATTATCAGATCAGTATTTTCATTTTTAAAGACATTTTTGGAAATTGAACAGATTCCAGCTCTTGCAACACACATCCACAGGGTGAGGAGAGGGGGAGGGGAGAATAACCATTGAAACAGATGAGAGGAAAGAAAAGAAAAAAAATCATTCAGAGAAGACTGGGTCAAAGATCACCTAGCAGCAGCCAGCTGTTCTAGGAAGGAGCCCACCCTTGCCCTGTAGGAGGCTCAACTTTACCTAAGTGGTGGAGTTCTGCACTGTGTTCCTTCACAGACATGGTGCAGCCTACAGGTCATAACTATGCCAGGATGCTCAGCCAACACTGGACGTTTCCAACTTAGCAGATATCACAACTTCCCTCCACTTGAGATTAGATTATGGAGATCAAGGAAGGGCATTAAAGAAGAGCATCAGCGTTTTTATTTTTAATATGAAACCTTTATCCAGGAAAATCCCCATGTTAAAATATTAGCTGTTAAGTTTGTTCGTGTTATCCTCAAATTTCTTAATTTTAAGGCTGTTAAATACAGTACGGCATCCTGGATGGACCCTAAACTCCCAAATCCCATCTGGCATTGAGCTCCTAGATGAGTATTAGTCTGGGTTTCTTCTTGTGGCCTGGTGCCACATAATTAAAGGAAGATGCATAGAGGTCTTCCATGAGGGGTCTGAACTATCTTTGCAAACCTGTCTAATTCAAAACCAATTCTAAAGTGAGAAGTCTGTAAAAAAATGGGTAAAAACAAAGGAGATTGACCCAAGTTGTCCAATAATTATTTGGAGATACGGTTAAGGTCATGACACTCTTGTGATCTTTGGACCCTTGTGGATCTGGCACCCTGGCTTTTGTGTCTGAACTGTTCATGTTTCCACCACTGTTATATTCTACTGTTGATACGAGTTAGATAAATGTTATCCAGAAAATGACCAACACAGTAAGTTCTTAAAGAATTTTGTCTTTCTAGAATCTAAAACATGTATCTCCACAGTGGGGACTGAACCCGGGATAGTGTTCCTACAGAGTGAAAGCAGTTCCACTGAACCAGTCCTCAGCTTGCTTTTGTCTTTGATTGGAGGCCAGGTTCACTAAGCTGCCTTCTGCAGGGACTGAACTCACTGTGTAGCCCAAGGAAGCCTGAGATTTGTGATCCTCCTTCTTTGGCTCCAGAGTAGCTGGAATGATAGTCCTGTGCCATAGGCCCTGTTCAAGAAGTGTTTTGTTTGGCAGTGAGCTATTTGAAAGAATTCATCTTCTTTAGGCTCTAAAGATGCTCTTTTTTATATGGAATGTAGAATAAATAAAATCATAGCTGGTGAGGGCTCAAAGCACAGGCCAATGTGATGCCATGTGTAAGGGAACCAGATTATGTAGCATTTTTGAATCATATTGCTTTAGATTTTTTTAAATTAAGAACCTTTCCAAACACATTTAAGAGATTAAAAGTGAGTTGTTAACTATGATAAACTATTTTGCAATTTTTTAATCCTGGATTTCCCCACATTTCTGTTTATTATACTGTAATAAAAAATGACCTTATAAAATACATTATGTTAATAAAATGTAATTTGAGATTAAAAATAAATGAAAAACAAAATTCACGCCAAAATACTAAGTTTTAAGATTAAGTAATAGTAATATTTGTCCCTGGAGGACTCAGAGGATTGTCAAGTGAATTAAAGGTCAGGACTGCCCTTCCCTCTGTTGTGAGATCAGGCTATAGAGATCAGTAGCTCAGAAACACGCAGAAGTCCACATATAAGAGCCTTGTTAGACACTTTGAAAGCAAAAGGAACACCCGGAATGTGTAACAAAAAGTTACAAAAGTGCATATAATTTTCTCAAAAAAAAAAAAAAGAAATTCTATTATAATAAACACTAACTGGAAACCCTTATGTTTCAGATAACTATCATATGTTCATAAGCAATCATTCTGGTAACTGGTAACAAAACAAAAATTCCTTATTCAAAGGATTATACATAAAACAATAATCCATACATTAACTGGCAGGGAACACAGATATTTCCTGTCCCTGAGACTCATATCTTCAACCTTCCATATTGGGTTTATAAATTAAAAAAAATATGTAAACAAAATATGGCATATATATATACATATATATACACACACATACACACACACATATATATATATCATACATTAACAATATATCATTCTCTGAATTGTACACATTATTAATTAATTGCCCTCCCCCAATATCATCAGTCTGAAATATTTGGATGCATAAGATCACAAATTATAAAATATACAAACAGCAATACAAATGGTGGCATTTTTAAAAATGTAGTATTAGAGAGCCTTCCTAGTTTCTCTCTCTCTCTCCCCCTCTCCCTTTCTCTCTCTTTCTTTTTTTTTTTTCTATGTGGCCCTTTTTAGCCAGGTACTGTCTATATAAATCAGTCTGGTCTTGAATTCACAAAGATCTGACCGCTTCTACCTCCCAAGTGCTGGGACTAAAAACATACATCACAATTCTCTGCTATTCTTTTATTCTTAAAGCTCTTGAAATGAGTCTATGTCTTCTTTAGAATGCGTGTTTTCAAATCCAGTCTTCAGAAGCTGGGGAGGGTACCAGAGAGGACTCAGACCACTGTAGCATCCTGACCCGACCGACTATGCACTGATGTCCATTAAAATGTGAAGCTACTTAGTCCATCCAAAGCACATAGAGAAAACAATAAGCTAGTGATAGAGCTATCTCACACAAATTCAGTCATGCATCAACAACTCCGCATGACAAATTCACCAGCACAAGAGTTATAGAAAATAGTTGCAAACTTTTGTGTGAGACAAGAGTCTGGAGGGGAGATGAAGAAAGGAGGAAGGGATGACAGCAGTGAGAACATTTACCACAGCAAAAGGCAAAAGGGTTAATGAGTTAACAGCAAGGGACAGTGAGTCATGACAAAGGACACTTGATACTTATGCAGCCAGGGGCAAAGGTACTTTAACCTGACAAGCCAGAGGAAACAAAACTCGTGTTAATACTCAGGCAGCATTTCTGTACAGGGCTGAAGGAAACACAAGATTCAATCAAAGTATTTACACTGATGTCAAAACTGTACAAGATTAGGACAACCAACAATAAAAATTAGCGAAGATAAAACTGAAGATGAAATACAAACTAGAACCATGTGGAAAATGTTTATAATTAGTAAACAGGGTCTACATTCAAATAAATTTGAGAAGCTATAAAAGCATCAAAATGAAGGTTGAAAGGTGAAATGCCAGAGAGCATGTTAGAAATCTGTCATCCCAAAGATTTCACAACAAGAATGAATGTATGATTCTGTCCAATGTATACTTCAACAGAAACAAGAGATACACAAAAATTATGCACTATGTATCATAGTAATAATTAAAATCATTTTAAAAATGAATAGTAAAGAAGACTACTAAGAAATTGGTGAGATACTGTAAATTGAACAGAATATGACAGGGCGTACATCCTGTTACTGCTTGTACCATTGTATATATACTGCTAGTAAACACACTGTGATTATGTGCTTTTATTCCATACACCATGACATATGAGATATTATTACATGCTCTGTAATCATGCACTGTTATCCCGTGCCTTGTGGTATATGTACTGTCATTATATGCACTGTGGCATATGTGCTATAATTGTATATATTGCAATATATATGTTGTAATTATTTCAGTTCACACTACATACAGTAAATTTCAAATTTGTGGAGGATTTTTGGCACTGCAATGAATGTAATATTTTTATACACTTTGGCATGTTACTTAGCATTTCACGAATTTCTGCTGTCTATATGGCTTTAAGTGATTTTTAATTCTGGCTATCAGGTAAAATGTTTTCATATGAGTAAAAAGTAGACAACAGCAAGGGTGTTTAAACTGTCTTGTTAACAAACACGTATTGTTGTTGTTTCCCTCATGAAGCAATGAGGAATTTAGTGAACTCACAACTCTGCAAAATGCTGGGGAGTGGAGTCACTACTGGGTGATCACACGGAAATTATACTGCATATGGAAAGGTATGCATTGCTATCTCTGTGCACACCCTTGGGAAGGGCTTCTTGACTGAGATGCAGGTGTACATGTCACTCTGCTGTGAGAGGAAGAGCTCCTCTGCTGAGCACATTATCCGTGCACTCTGGTCCTCTGTCATCTCCCACTGAAGTCCTGCTGTCCACACACCCTGCTTATTGGAGGACGAGGCGCGCCATGCAGCCTATTGCATTTGCTATAAAGCCACACAAAGCACTTGGTCCACATGGCAGCGGCTGCACGTGTGCATAACCCCAGCTCCTATTTGCTGTGTCCCATCCATACCTGCTTCCTCCGGACCCTGGAAAGCGCGTTTGTTTCTGTGGCTGACGCTGGAGTTGTGGGCTCGCGGTGCTGCCGGTGCCAGGAGCTACGAAGAGAGAGACACCCACCCCGCTATGGGACCTGCAGCCATGGAGCAGCACGCCTGGTGCTCTTTGACCGGCAGTGGAGGGGTGAACTCACTTTGGCTTCTGTGGTGGCCCCTGGAGCCCCTGGGACGGCGGGAGCTGCTGCAACCCGGTAGCCCTGCAGCTCCATGCGCAGGCTCATCAGGTCGGCTTGCAGAACAGCAAACCGGTACAAGGACGTCACCGTGAGGCCGCTGGACAGCAGGGCCAGCAGGAGAGTGGCAGCCAGCAGCCTTCCATCCCTGCAGACCCCAACACAGGCACACTCCTTCTGCGGAGTAATGGAAACACGCCCCACTTTCATTTCGGCTCCTTTCTCCGGGCAAAAAGAAAGGCACGGTGGCTGAGTCTCTGCAGACTCATCCATTCCTTCAAAGGTCTGGGTCTTTGGAGTAAGTGACCCACAGGGGTGGGTCATTTCCTGTCATCTGTGTCTTTGGAGGCTCCCCTAAGAGCCCTCTCCTGACTCTTCTACATCTTTTGCTATCTTGAAGTAGGTTCTCTGGCTCTGGCCTTCCATGGATTGCTCAATCTGCCTTCCTCATTTCACTTTCAGTTTTTGTAATATTGTTCATGCCTCCTCAACACAGTCGGGCCCGGGAGATGGGAGATGTGAGGCCTCTGACAGGGCTGCAAGGGGGACGGGGAAGCTTGGGGTTCAGACTGGCTCACTTCAGGCAGAACTTTTAACGCAAGAGTACATTGAAGGTGCTTTCCCTTCAGCATGCCCTTGAGAACTGTCTACTTTGGCCACATGGTTCTGAGGAAGAGGAAAGGGACAACGAAGGCCTGCTGGTGTAATAAAAGATAATTAATGTGCAAGTCAGATAAGCTCAGTGCTTGAGCACGGACAGCACTTGGCTGAAGGATAACAAATTTAACAGCTCCCTAGAGGAAGACTAAATGAAATGCCTGCCATACAGCAGACTGAACTCCACCCGAACGTCTCCACACTCATCTTGACAGTATAATAAAGAGAACGTGCTACAGATCTATTTAAAAGTGGGGTGGATTACAGGGATGCACGGATCCCTTTTTTTGTCTTCTGAGACAATGTTAGAGAGCCATCAGCCTCAGTCCCCCCATTAACGGGTGTCCAGAAATTGATACACAATCTCCACACTGATGGTACTAGAATGTCCTGAATCCATGGCTGCATTTGGTGACATGCAGACACTGAAAATTTTTTCTGTTCAGTCTTTCCTGTTCTGTAAGGTTGGGAGGGGACACAGTACCTCCATGTAGTTATCTTTCAGTGTAGGTCATGAACACTTACTTAGCCTGAACAGTAACCCTTCACCTAAACCTGACTGCTGAGTTTCATGCTACCTTCCCATGTAACCTTAGGAAGAATCTCCCAGAAACAAAAAAATGCACAGGGGCAAAACTCCAGAGGTAGGCTTCTCAGGCACCAATCCTGCTACTACCTCTTGCCCCCCCCCCCCATGTCAATTACAGAACCTCTGTGTGGATCAGTTTCTTCTTGTGTTACACGGAATGATGAAAGTGTGCATCCCTGGGGCTGCTAAAAAGGTAGTAGGTAGCAACTGATCACATTCACCATGCTTTCATTTTTTTATTCATTCCTTTCAAAGCACAGATGGAGTGTTTTTGCTCTTATGGTCAGTTCTGGAAATGGTATTTTTATGAGTAACATCTACAGGGGCTCCCCCTCTAAGACATATCTTCCCTTTTGCAAGGTGTCAAAGGGCATCCTCTATTGACTTGTCATTTCCTGTCTTACTCCCAAGCAATGCTGCTGGTCTTTCTCATTGAAGTTGGGAACTTTTCTTCCTTTCTCTTCTGCCAGTTCTAAAGAAACTTTAAACCAGTTGCTGCAACCTTTACCCCCAAATGAGCTGTTCTCTAATCTCCCAAGTAGAAGTAAACTAGTGTGTGTGTGTGTGTGTGTGCTTAGGTCTGTCATCAAACAATACTGGTGTGTTACCACATTCTAGGTCACTGAGTAAAGCATAAGGCATTATGGATAATGACCCCTGGTATAAGTGGAAATTCTCTAAAGACTTCCAGACTGAAAGAGATTAAGACTTACTCTTGAGACTTAATGATAGGCTGTAATACCATCACATGAGTGCACAAGACAGGAGGATTGTGGGTTCGAGGAAAACAAACAAACAAAAAATAAACCTTGTTTCAAAATCAAACACATATCTCAAACATGTGCTAACATTGCCTAATTACACACAGAAATTAAGCATTACAAAGAAGAAGTACAGGAGCAAAAGATGGCACCTTTCTCCCTGTTCTGTATAATTATCCAGAGGGAATTATCACACTGGGCTAAAGCACATCCTCTGTCTTCTCTGCTCTGTTGGGCAAGGAACTTCATAGCCAAGCTCCTCAAGAGAAAGCCCAGACCAACTTGAGTTCAGGTGATTTTAAAATAAGAATCCAACATCGGCTCACAGTGGTGTCACTGTGCATCAATGGCTGCTGCTGCTTCCGATAAAGGTTACCAGGGAGCCACTGGTGAGCAGGCACCACTGTTTGTACCACCTCATGGAGGTCACACAAAGACAGCTGTAAAGTTCCTTACATTTATAGCTACTGAATTGCTTAAAAGATGAACAAGACAAAAGTTATCTCTCCATAACTCAAAGATCTGTTTGCTGTAGAGGAAATGGTCTGGTGGTGATTTAATCAGAACTTTATTAAATAAACAGTGCATTCTTATTTCATGACTACCTCACAGCACTTGTGTATGTTTGTTTGACGTGGTATCCTTAGACAGTTTGTGTGTGTCTTTCATATAGGGTATGTCTCTTTGAATAGTTAGGTCTTGTTTTAATGGAGTGAGTTGGTATGCATCGTTTAATTGTTGTGTTGAGAACATTTGCATTAGGTCGTTTTTGAGAAGGGATTGCCATTTCCTGTGGGGTTGTTGGTATTACAGGGCGGTGGGACTACTAAGGATTTCTTCCTCTGCAGCGAGTGCTGGAAATTTCCTGATTTGCTGTGTTGGCCATGATGGACCTCAGCTCTCCTTTGTTCATGCATTGCTCTCAGTAGTGTGTTCTTTCCTGTGTTTTACTGACTGAGACTGTGTGGTATTCAGACAGATCTTGACAGCAGCATTGTTTCCACTGTAATGGGTTGTAATAAAGGGGACTGTGCTATGAAGAAGGAAGGCTGAGTACTTACCATTGAATGGGACTTGTATTTAAACAACCCCTACCTAAACACCACACACAACAGGGCTTTGGGAACATCCAGAAAGAGGAAGAAAGCAGTAAGAGCCAGAGGATTGGGAGGAGTGCTGTGAAGTACTGTCTCCTGATTATCACACTCATGAATTCACACCTGTGGTTATTTGCTCAAGATCTGCACATGACCAAGCCAGCCAAAATTCTGCCATTGACTAGTTATGTGTTGTCTCCAGGACCCATCCCCTACTGAGGAGCTATTGGTTGTTTCTGATGGAGGGAGAAACATTCTTTTGCGGCTATGTGGCCACTGATTGGATTCTCATGCTCCAGTGGATGGCCCACTCTAATGTACCTATAAGTACTACTAATTAGACTTTGTGGGTTATAAAGTCAACTTCGTAGTTGGGAGGAGGGCATGAGGAAAGCACACAGGGAGCTGTGGGGGAAATCAGAGGTAGATAAAATCATATTTCATTGTACAAATGTGTCAAATTTTCAAGAACAAACACTTTTTTTTTTTTTAAGAAAAGTAAAAAGAAGTATAGGACATTAAGAAGAATTATAGCCTTTCATTTGGTAGAGAATTCTTTAGGGGGACTGGATTGATTATACAAGAGTACACTGTATGGGGTGACACCTTCTTACACATAGACACCTGACTAAAGCCATGCTTCTAATTTCTAGCATCTGGTTTTCACCAGAATCCAAACATACATCAGTGCTACACTTGGAATTTCTGAAATAGTGAGGCAAACTAGGCTTCATTCTTTTACAGATTATAAAGTCATATCTATCACCTTGGAATTCTGTTGTAGCAATATAAAGAATAGTTTCAGAAGCAGCCATTATCTACTGGGACCTGAAAGTGTCCCCCAAAAGGTTCTTGTGGACAACCACTCACCAGTGTTACACTAGCAAAAGATAGACTTACAGAGACTTGCATTCTAACAGCGAGAAAGGAAATAGTGAACAGAACGAGCCTGGTCAATCACACAGACATGTATGCAATAGGACTACCACCGAGGGGAAAGCAGCAGGAAAATGTACAGAGAAATAATGGCTGTGAACTCACAAAGTGCAACCAGTGCAATGTGGAACTGGGGCCCACTGGAGTCATATGTGCCACAAGGATGCCACACTCATGAATGGATCCATGCTGACTATAAATGATCAGGAGACTGAATTCCCACTCATATTTTGTTTCACATTCCTTTGTCTTTTGACACAGGATGATGCCTCAAGATCCCAACCCCCACCACATAGGTAAAGCCTCTTGACATTCAATTCCTGGCATCTAGAATCACAAGTCAAATGAGTTCCTTTTCTTTACAGATAACAAAGCCTCTGGAATTGCATAATAAATAACATAACATCAAGTATTAGGACAGATATATAAACATCCCTGGGTTATCTCAGAAAAACAAGGATCTATTGGAGCTGAGTAACTAGGTTCTACATGGCTGTACTTTGTAGTATTAATCTTCTCACCATTTCACATCAATTGTTTTGTGTTACTTCCATGGACAAAGTGACTATTTTCTGTGATCTTGTAATTCCAATGTAGGTTAGTTCACAAGCATGTTCTCTGTTTCTGGTTGTCTAATACTTTGCATAAGCATGTTATTAGTCTCAAACTGTAATCACATGTGCATGTTTTCTTCTGCACCTTTTTGTATGACATAAAGGAAGACAGGAGATGACCAGTGCATTTTACCAACCTTTCTAATTGTATAGTTCTTAATACCAATGCTGTGATCATACATGCACCAATCTGATGTGAATCACTGCACATTATTTCCTGCCAGTGCAAATAACACCCTGCATTTCCCGAGAAGTGGGTCCAATAGCAACACACTCGACTCTCATTTTAGAGATAATGTTCTCTTTCATTTCTGAGTTTTCCCAATTATACACTTTCTCAACAGTAGCTGTCTCTAGCACTTGAGCCTGCAGTCCCTCATCTTCTATTCTCCATGGTTCCCAATGATCAGTGTGTTCTTGGTCTCATTGGAGTTGCCTTGACATAATTCATTTGTTGGTTTCTCTTGGTGCTGCTGTCTTAACTTTTTCCTCTCAGGGTTCCTATTAAATGTTTCCATGTGCTTGTCACTATGTGTTCATCCTATTTGAGATTCTTTGATCTTAAATATGGATATTGTCATTTTTCATCAAATTTTTGAAGTTTTTAGCCATTGCATCTTGGGATATTTTTATATTTTTATGCCCCACCTTTTTTTTTTTTTTTTCCTGGCACTTCCATTGTGCTCAGATTACCAACAGCTCTGAATCTTTATTCACTTTCTTCCGTTTTCTGTGCACTTCAGATTTCACTGTCTCTACTAACCAATCTTTCTGAGACACTGTTATAATATGCAGCAGGCATTTAGTTCAGTTCA